TAAAATGTTAAAAAAGAAAAAAAAAACAAATTGAACATCATGAAAGCATACTGATTAATCACATAGCAATATGTAATTATCGATTGTGACACATAGTCTGAGGTGACCCCTGTGAATGGGTCGTTCGGCCCACAAAGGGGTTGTCACCCGTAGGTTGAGAACCGCTGCTCTAGCCTATTGACGCGTGGTTCTACTTCCTTTCCAAGCCCAGCCAGTGCACCAGAGAGACTAAGGGCTTGTGGTCAAGGGTGTTTATTGAATCAAACCCCAGGACAACTTTTCCACTTGTTTGGCTAGTGCATAAGGTTTCTCCAGGGCACTATTATTCCAAATTCAGCCAAGGTCAAGGCTGTGGGCCTCAGGCAAAGTTGCATTATCAGCCATGACTCCTAGAGTCTCCACCCTCTCTCAAGAGCAAGGTGGAAGAGGAGGGCTTCAATTGTCCAGGCTCATGAGTAAAGCAGTCCCCCTCTTGATCCAGTGGTCAGCTGCCATGGCCCCAGACCGCAGGTCAATGCCAATGACGAAGGAGGTTCGGTCTGAGCTGCCCGCTCGGTTGGGATAATAGTAGCAAGGGCAGGAGTACATGCCTGGCGGAGAGAAGAGCGGACGGTCAGGCCCTGCAGCCTCTTGAGAAAGCAGGGCGGAGCGGGGAGGCAGAGAGAGATAAGCAGAAGATGGGTTAGGATCCCCATTGGGGGTGGGTCAAGCAATCTGGCAGATGTCCCACCCTTGGCGGTCTTCTTTCGACTCTCTGCAGGCCGGAAATGGATGGTGGGCATGAGGCAGACAAGCTGCATGGGATCTGCCTCCACCAAGCAGGAGTTCTTCCGATCCCAGCCAGCCCCCTCCAGGTACAGACCTCGAACCCAGACACCATCCTGGGGAGAAATGGGGGCAGGTTGTGGGGAGGCCTTCAGGAGTCTGAACTCCTGACCGTGGTCCCCTCCCTCCTACCTTCTGGACCAAGCATTTCCCACCTTTGCTCCCACACGCTTCCCCACCACCTCTCCCTTGGCTCAGTGCCCGGAGCACTGCGGGCTCGCACCTTGGGTGGATAGACCAGGTTGCTGTCATCCACGGTGGACACGATAAACTCCCAGGAGAGGCTGTCCACTGAAATCTGGGGGGTGGAAGATGGGGAATGAGGGTGAACCCCCACAAGGAGGGCAAACATATGTCCCCAGAATTCACCCTGGTGACACTGTCCACACTGCTCACATTGTTTTGCCGCGCAGAAGCCTGCAGCACGGCGGTGAGGAAGCCCGTGGGAAAGGTGAAGCCGGACAGCCAGAAGATGACCGGCGGCCGCGCTCGGCTGGCCCACAGCTCAAACTGCTCCACCCGTGAGGCCAAGTCTCGGGTCCATGCAGCCAGTGGTTTTTGTGAGGGGTAGGCCTGGGGGCGGAGGCAGAGTGAATTGCTCATTCGTTTGTGCACTCATTCCACCCCATATTTTAAGCTCCTGGGGCAGAAGTGAAAAAGAAAACTGTGGGGTGTCAGCCTTTGTCACCTCAAAGTTCTTTAAAAGCTCCCAGGAAAGAAGCCTAAAAGGCTAACGCCTATTTATTCATACCAATAGCGGCAGTCCTGTTACCCAGTGACCACACCTGGTGGTGTCCTGGGTTAGGGGCTGCGCTGCTAACTGCCAGGTTAGCAGTAGCAGTCGACCCACCAGTTGCTCTGAGGGGGAGAAAGATGAGGCTGTCACCTACCTTACAGAGTTCAAGTCTGAGAAACCCTGGGGGGAAGGCCTGCCCTGTCCTACAGGGTTGCTGTGAGTCCGAATTGACTCAGAGGCAGCCGGTTGGTTGGTTTTCGTGTTGTGCTTATGTTAGTGTGATGCTCAGTGCTGGGCCTTCTTGAGGCCACCTCAGAGAAGTTAGTAACCCGCCGGGAGTCAATTTGTAAGTTAAGAAGTTGAGTAAAGGCAGACAGTGAATGGCTGAGCAACAGTTCCATCTTAAATCTGCCTGGCTCTGAAGCTCAGGCTCTGAAGCTCAGGCTCCTTGTCGTTCTCCTGTTGCCCTCCCCTTTCCCCCCATCTCCCCAAGAACTAGGCGGGCAGGAGCAGGGGAAAGAGGAGAAGCCGAAGCTGCTTGGAGGAAGAGGAGGAGGAGGAGGAGGAGCAGCAGCAATGGCGGGAAGGTGGTGTCATCTTGCCTTTCCCCAGAGTGGAGGGACATGGGCATCAAAAATGCAGTTGAAAATCTCCTCCAGGCTCGTAGACATGACAATGAGGCCCTGGATGCCTTTCTCTAGGTCCGTCAGTGATAACCTGAGGGGGAAGGAGAGGGCTGAGCAATACCTGGGAGAGTCGTGGTGGGACCAAGGTGGGGCCTTTCCCTTGCTCTCTCCCAACATTCCCCAGCATCCCCCTCGGCCTTACAGGATGGTCTCCATCAGCTTGTTGTATCTCTGAATCTCTTGCAGAAGGACCACATTGAGTGGGGAAGGGTCCAGAGCCAGCAGTTTTCGGGTTCCCTCGTAGTCGATCATCTCGGGAATCTTCTGCTTCACATCCATGGCCAACTCCAGGACCTGGGGAGGCAGGAGCTCTGGAGTGCCAGCCCCTCTTCCTCACCCCCAGGTGTGGCCCCTCTTTACCTAAGGTGACCAGATTTAAAGCGGGACACCATTGACTGGGGGTGGGCTTGATTAAAAATTTGGTCTATATGGACCAAATAGACCGTTCCCTCGCTTGTCATGCATTCTTTCCAAAAATCGGAACTTTTTTAAACGCCAAAAAGCGGGACATCTGGTCACCTGATCTTTACCTTCTCTTCCCGGCTCTGGCCGCCTCCTCTGGTGGGTGTGATCTGGGGCTGCAGGGAAAGCAGTGTCTCAAACAGAGTCCGGGCTTCAGTGATCTGAGAGGCCACGTCAGCATTGGGGTGCTGGCCGAAGGCCTCAGGGGGGTCCATGCCGGGCAGCATGCTGATGTACTCCTTGTAAGAGGCCATACCCCCATCTTTGGGCACAAAGTAGGTCTCCAGTACTGACAACCTGGGAAGACACAGCAGACTTTTTACCAGATGGTGGGCACGCTGGGGCTTCCAGGCAGGTCAACCCTCCAGTCCCATCCCCGCAACTCCCCTGTCCCTGTTTTACCACCTCTGCCTTCTCCCCACCTTGGGTTTCCTCCTCAGACATTTCCCCCAGCCCAGACCCAGCTGCCTAGTCTGTGTGGGTCCCCCCCCCCCTCACCGGTAGGAGGGGGTTGACAGCGTCTGGTCACAGAAATAGTCATTGATGTAGGTGGTGAGCAGGCGCCTGTCCCAGTCGTCCGTGACGTGGCCTCCGTAGTTCACGCCAGCAATGAGGTACTTGAGCGCGTCCCAGGGAGTCTCCTCGTACTCATCCAGGTAGAGGCTCAGCAAGTTCTCCGACACCTGTGAGTGGCCCCAGCCCCAGCCCCACACACAGTTAGAGCAGGCATCTTTCACATCAGCGGGATCTGCCCACGGGGGAGGGCTGGGAGGAGGAGTCCCCGGTGAGGGTGAGCACGAACCTCAAAGTCAGAGTCGTTGAAGCCGTAGATGATGTTCCAGCCGAGCTGCAGGAACTTTTTGCGTTCCAGTAACACCGAGTGGAAGAAGCAGAGTGCGAACAGCAGCTTCTTGTACTTGGCTGGCTTGGAGCAGCGGGAAAACTGTGGCTCTGTCATCAACTGGTAAAGACGTGTCATGTTGGCCTTTAGCCCCTGGGGTCAAGGAAGGGCAGAAGTAGGATGCAGAGCTTCATACTCCATCCTGGCAGCAATGCCATTACGTCCAGTTGTAGTGACTGTGCATTGTACAGGGTGCCGGCTGAGGGTTGAGCTTAAACACAACCCTTGATCTGTGTACCAAAACGGGGACTCATTCACAAGGCTGAGTACCATCTCTATCTAATTCCCATACAGGTACGGGATGAGCTCATGGGAGCCCTAGCCCCCAGCTTTCCCCCGCCCCACACCCGACTTTTGGTCCTTTAGCCATGATATTCCCATTTGTGGGCAAAACCAGGAAACCAGTTGCCATTGAGTCAACTGTGTGGCATTATTCTCCTGCATGGAGTTAGTCAATCACAAAAGGACAAACATTGTATGATTCCACTCCTATAAAACAAACACCATGATGAAGGCAGGCTTCTGCCCCCGGGGCACGGAACCTTCCAATCTGGTGTCTGAAGCATCCAGGTGGAGAGTCTGTCTAGCATCCGTGAAACCTACCATCACCCAGCTCTTTCATGTACAGTTAAAAAACAACCTTCCACAGAGGAGACCCTCCTCTCGGCAGGGGCCAGTTTTTCAAGATGTGGAAAGAGGAAGGTGGTCATTCCATTGCTGCCATACAAAATGGTGCTGAAATCACCTCTCTCCAGCAGCCACTCCTACCAGAATAAAAGGAAACCTTACAGGAAACTCAAGTCAAGATGAGGCGAGGGAAGCGTGTATGTCTTAGAGAAAGTGATTACATTTCTGTTGGTGGGCAAAAATGGAGGAGCCACCTCCCATCGGGAAAAACTCCTAATAAAATTTATATGGAGTACAAGGGGAGACTGAGTCTGGTACCAAGTTCCTAATTGGACACTTTTGACCTAGTTTCTTTCCGGCCCTTGGTGACCCAGGTGGTGTACTATAGACTACTGGGGCTTAGACTCTGTTCCTTTGAAGCGCACGGCATCCTTCGGGGGCCACACCAGAAGGCCTCCGTGTGGAAACGCCGTCAAGTGAACTGGGCCAGATCTCAAGCTGACCTTTAGCCCTTGGACTTCAAGCTGAAACTCCCTCTGGTGAATAGTAGATGACCGCTAGCCCAAGGGCAGAGACCTGACGGAGGCTGGAGGTTGGGTTGGATCTCTTGCCTTGAGGGTGCCCAAAGAATGGTAGTCGGCTGGAACTGGCATGTACGCACTATTGTAACGCCCTTCTTGCTTCCTTATTACGTGTATTAATCTGGTAGGTGTGGGTCTGGTGTTGTGAATGAATATGATTACACTTGATCTTAGCCAAAAGGCCGAGAAGCAATTGTGAATGAATATTATTATTGATGTAAATAATGTCCAGTCATTTAAGTTTAATCTGTGCAAAGCCACCAGTTCATATATTGCAGTTTATTGCTGGCCTATACTCATACCATTTCCTTCTCTCAACAGTGTTTTAAATTATATACCATTGGCTAAGCTAATACACTATCAATGTGTCATGGTTAGACATTGGGCTACTAACCACAAGGTAATCAGTTTGAAACCACCAGCCAGCTCTTCGGGAGAAAGATGAGCTTTCTACTCCTGCAAAGAGTTACGGTCCCAGAAACTCAGGGTAGTTTTCTACCCTATCCTAGTATAGAGTCAATATGAGCCAGCATTTGCTATATGGCATGGAAATGATGCCCCGGGGTTATTACTCATGATGTTCTCTAACATAAAATGACAATGATGTCCCTAACATGAACCAGAGACATACATAAGCCACAGATGTATGACTATATTTGAGACTTTCACTTCATTCTAACCCCAGTCTAAGAACAGGTAGTTATTATAACGTGGCCCTACTTGATGCTCATCCTCATAATGAGGTCACGACGATCCGGCTATCAGGACGGGGACTAGACGAATGGTTCCTTGGGGCAAGGCGGCGGGGCTGGGTGGGAATGGAGAGCTAACAAAGAGGAGGACGAGGATGAAGAACATGCTCTGCAATGGATTGTGGTGGTGATTCTGCAACTCTTCTTGATGTGCTTGAACTATGGCATTGTATGATAGGCGAATGATATGCAATAAAATGTTTTTGTTTTGTTTAAAGAAAAGACAGTCGAGTATTGAACTCAGGAGAAACACCTGAAGCAATGACCAGAATTAAGATCTGGGAAACCCACACACAGATGGAAACATGGCTTCAGGTTGATCAGGGGAATATTTTTGGATTCTTTGACAAATAGTACTGGCAGCATTGTGGGAATTTTTGAAAAATTAAAATGGGCTTCTGCATCATAATGTCTTTATAGAACAAAATTCCATGTATGTAAGCCTAAATGTGAACGTCAACATATTAAAAAACAATTATTAAAAGACAAATAAAGGGGAATTCCCTGTGACCTTGGTGTAGGTAAAGATTTCTTGAACAAGACATAAGGAGCAAGAACATAAAAATAAAAATAAAAAGATAGCTAGCTGTGGCCTCATAAGAATTAAGACAAGCCACAAAATACTGACAAGTCACTGGCAAAAGGTTAGGAACTGGAATATATACAGAAGTACAAAATATGAAGAACCATGTAAATGAATATGAAGCACATAATGTTGAATGAAAAAAAGTTGAATACACACAGTTTGACTCCATTCACGGTAAACAAACACAATATTCCGAATGATGACTTGTTTGGAACGGGGAGGGAAGACAATAGGATGAGAGAGAGGCAGCACCTGGACAAACAGCCAAAGACCATGTTCCACATCCTACTGTGGGGAGTAGCAGCTGGGGTAGTAAAAGCTCATGGACCAGCCTCTAAGGTGCAAACTACTGGTCTGTCCCCATCAAGGTAAAGCAGACTGCTGCTGAACATGGAGGACTCAAAGAAACGTGTGATCCTGTGATGACAGGCCCACACATGCTTCAGTCCCCGTGACCCTGAGGCCAGAAGAACTAGGTGGTACCTGGCTATCTCTACCAACTGCTCGGAAATGGATGACATTAGAAAGTCCTGGGTAGAGTGGCAGAAAAGACAAGACCAGCTGACTGGTTAGACTCTCCAAGACAAAGGCCTTAGTCATTGAACTGAGTTTACCCCTGCTGTCCCCATGTCAATATTCAGCCAGGTTTCTAAGCGGTATAATGATCCAGAGGAGATATGCATGCCTTTCATAGTCAACCAGCTTGAGATCAGAAGGATTTACTCAGAGACAAGATTGAGAAGGGGGACAAGAGAGAAGGGGAGAAGAGGAAGCAGAGAGGAAGCTGGATAAGCAATGTTGCATTGTGGGAACTGCAATGACTGAGATGAAACAACATGTGTATGGATTACCGAATGTAAAACTGACCCTCTGATCATCTTCGTCGAGTTCACAGTAAAAAGTACAAATGAAAGAAAAGTCATTAAGTAAACAAGCAGCCGTCTAGCCCAGAAGCAACAAAGCCCACATGAAAGCACACTAGCCTATGTGATCATGAAGTGTCGAAGTGATCAGGTATCAGGCATCATCAGAACAAAAAATCTTACCATAGGGGAGTGCAGATTCGGGACCCAAAGCCCATCTGTGGGCAACTGGACATCCCCTTACAGAAGGTTCATGGGGAGGAGTTGAGCCAGTCAGGGTGCAGTGTAGCAACGATGAAACATACAACTTTCCTCTAGTTCCTAAATGCTTCCTCCCCTTCCCCCCCACCACTATCATGATCCCCATTCTACCTTACAAACCGGTTAGACCAGAGGATGTACACTAGTACAGATAGGAACTGGAAGCACAGGGAATCCAGGACAGATGATCCCTTCAGGACCAGTGGTGACAGTGGTGACACCAGGAGGGTGGAGGAAAGGTAGATTAGAAAGGGGGAATGGATTACAAGGATCTACATATAACCTCCTCTCTGGGGAACGGACAACAGAAAAGTGGATAAAGGGAGACGTCGGACAGGGCAAGATATGACAAAATACCCATTTATAAACTATCAAGGGCTCATGCGGGAGGGGGGAGCGGGGAGGGAGGGGAAAAATGAGGACCTAATGTCGGGGGTTTAAGTAGAGAGAAAATGTTTTGAGAATGATGTACAAATGCGCTTTACACAATTGATGTGTGTATGGATTGCAATAACAGTTGTATGAGCCCCTAATAAAATGTTTAAAAAAAAATTTGTTGTTGGTGGTCTTTTGTTTGTTTTTAATTATTTTTTCTGTCTCTGAAATCCAGGATAGGTACGTCTATGGAGACAGTGACTGCATTGATGGTTTCTTGGGGTACGGCAGGGGAAGTTGTGGGGAAATGGGGAGCTAATAACAATGAGCACAAGAATAAAATGTTCTAAAATTGATTGTGGTAATGATTGTATAACTTCTTGATATGATAGAACTATTGAATTGTATGATAAATGGACTGTGTGCCAATAAAAATGTTTTTTAAAAGCAGTTTCTGGATATTTCCTCTATTGAGGTCTAATGTGTCTAGAAACAGTAGGTCACATTTTGAAGATTTTTCTTTAATAAACATTTCTATGATTTTATAGCAATTTTTATTTGCCCTTTGTGGTAGTTACATAATCTGTTGTCAACTTGAGACTAAGAGTGAAGGGGTGGAGTTTATCCTGCCCATCTGGTCGCAGCTTGATGACTTCATTTGGAGGCGCGAAGGAGATAAATAGCTCGCTGTAGGCAGGACACACACTTACTCCCTGCGAGACATTCCTGTTGACAAGCCACATGGTGCTATGCTGATAGCAGCCAGAGGCTCGGAGCTGGAGGAGCCACATGGAGACCCACACCAGCGCTAAGATGCTACAAACCACCACTGGATCCACAAGACTTTCCACACACTGGCCTGTGATCTTCCCTCACTCAGCATCATTGCATGTGTTGCGTGAGTCTGAAGAGGAATTTACAGACTGGTACTGGACATATGGGCTAATATCAGACTTATGGACTTGATCTGGACTGGGCTGGGATGTTTTCTTAATGTATAATTACTCTTTATTTATTTATTTATTTTTACAATTACCCTTTATATAAA